TCGGCAGACACAACATGTTTGTTTGTATGTGGTGCTGAGGATCGAACCTGGGCGGCATGCATGCCAGGCCAATGCATGCCAGGCCAGCGGTCTACAGCTTGAGCCACATCCCCAGCCCATAATTAGATACATTTTTAAATTTTGCAACACCCTTCATTCTGCCTGCAGTTCCATCAGGGACCATTTTCCTTCACCTGAAGAATTCCCTAAGTATTTCTTGCAGTGCAGATGTGTACTAGTAAACAAATCAAATTCTTAGTTTTTGTCTGTCTGAAAATATGTTTATCTTACCTTCATTTTTGAAAGATTTTTTGCTGTTATAAAGATATAAATGTAAATTGGTAAGATTTTTCTTTTTTTTATTTAGCACTTTAAAGAATTATTTCATTGTCTTCTGGCTTCTGGCTTCTTCATGTGGCTGTAGTCAGCCACATGGATTGTATTGTTTCTTCTCTCTGAATCTCTCTTTCTCCTGGGTACTGGGAATTGAACCCAGGATGCTCTACCTATGAACTACATCCTAGCCCTTTTTATGTTTTTATTTTGAGACAGGGTCTCCCTAAATTGCCAAGGCTGGCCTTGAGCTTGTGATCCTCCTGCCTCAGCCTTCCAAGTAGCTGGGATTACAGGCATATGCACACTGCACTCTGCCATTTCTAGTGATTCTATATATCCTTGATTGTAGCTGCATTTTAGAATCTCTGAATTGTATTATCATCCTGAAAGAGTGCTAGGTTTTGTTCTAGTAGGCATTTAAATTGCCAATGGGTCCCCTTCATCTGAGAATACTTGATTTTAGGCTTCACTAGGGTGGGTTATTTTCCCTTTGCCTTTTCTCCTAGGGGAGAGGCTTTATCCTAGTATCCCTGAAGGATTGATTCCAGGACTCCTCAGATACCAAATTTCATGGATGGTCAAATCCCTTGTGTAAGATGGTGCAGTATTTGCATCTAACCTGCACACATCCTCCATGGTACTTTAAATCATCTCTGTATTGCTTATAGATATAAATGCCATGCAAATAGTTATTATATTGTATTGTTTAGGGAATAACGATAGGGAAAATAAATCAGCACATGTTTATTACAGATGCAACCATCAGAGACTTAACTGCATTTGTGATTCAGTTTGTGGTTGAATTTGGGGACGCAGAATCTGCACAAGGAGGCCACCTGCACTCTGAGGGTGCTGCCTTTTTTGAACCCTAACTGAAGCCCTGAGGTCCCCATAAAGACCTCTTCTCTTTTCCTGGGGCTGAACTCCATGTCCCTCTAGCACTCTCCCAAGTCTGTGCCCAGCTCCCAGCTTCTCCATGGTCATTCTCCGCAGGATCTTTCAAAGTCTCACTCTGAACATGTATGGTTAGGAGTCAGCCAAGGAAGCAAGTGGAAACTTCACACAGATTTTTGAATCCTGCTCTCCAAACCAATTGCAGATACCTATTATTTTAGCCAGTGAGACTGTCACTTCTGGCTTATCTACATCCCTGTACCTCTGCTTAGAATCTGGCCTGGGGGAGAGCACTAGTTAAACGTGGGCTCACCTCATGTGTGCTCCTCTCAAGGGTCATGGTGCTGCATTGGCTGCCGTCCAATGCCCACAAACTGTTGCTCTATTTATTTTGCACACTTAGTTGCTCACCATGGAAGGGTAAATCTAAAATCAATGACTCCATCATGGCTGGAATCAAGTTCCTCCCTTAGGGATTCAAGAGGTTGAGGCCAAGTCAAAAGGGTGTGTATCAGGGAGGCCATGAGATGTCTGGACTCTGAGGTCATGCCCAGGGAGCTAAAAGCTGAGGAAATGGAAACAATGAGTTTGCGGAAATTTGAAGAAGAAAAAAGCTGGACAAGGGTGGTGGTGAGAGAAGGAAACAGACCACGAGGGAACTCAGGAAACGCCAACCCTAGGACCACCTACCAGGCCCTGTGTGCCCACTCCATGATGCCCTACACCCAGTAGCACCCTCCAGCCCCAGGGTCCTGCCTGGTCAAGGTACAGATCCGACTTTTGTCTCCCTTACTAACTATAATCTCCCAGATTCCAGGAACCTGGTGGGAGCCAACTATCCCAAAAGACTCAACTTGTCTACAGCCATACCACCCTGAAAGTTTCCAATCTTATCTGATCTTGGAAGCTGAACAGGGTCAGGTCTGGTTAGTACTTCGGTGGGAGTCAAAAAGACTCAACTTGCCAGGAATGGTGGCGCATACCTGTAATCCCAGCGGTTTGGGAGGCTGAGATAGGAGGATCTCAAGTTTAAAACTGGCTCAGCAAAAACTGAGGCACTAAGCAACTCAGTGAGACCTTGTCTCTAAATAAAATATAAAATAGGGCTAGGAATGTGGCTCAGTGGTTGAGTGCCCCTGAATTCAATCCCTAATACCAAAAAAAAAAAAAAAAAAAGACTCGACTCAACTGCCCATCACCTCAACAACTAAAGAAATCAAGATACAGAGAGATTAGTCGACCTTTTGAGTACCACACAGTAATAAACTGTACAGGCAGGATGAGTACTTAGACAATCTAAACTGGCTCTCCTACCTCCTATGAACAAGCACCATGCCAGTTCCTTCTGAAAGAAGACCCTCTGGATATACCACTCCCCAGAAGCTGCCTCTGAGATGGAACTTCTTGTGTTTCTTCATTCTTGAAAGGCATGGGCTGCCGTGGCCTAGACATGAGAGGGAGAGGTTATAACAGGCAGCTTCAGGCCTGGTTATGGTCCCAGTTTTGTTGATGATCTGCTAGGCAACCCCAAGCAAGTCCTTCCTCAAATACCTGCAAGGCTATTGTGAGTTGCTGATAAACCCACATGGGCAAGAGCCCTGAGGGGCTGCTGATGCCCAGCAGCACAGGGCCTGCCACTGACATTGCCTTGGATGATTCCACAAGGCCATGGTGGGCAGCCAGAAAGCCTCTGGCCTGCAACAAGGAGAGCAGCCTGGCTGGGCAGCAGCAGGCGTATGAAGTGCCAAGCCTCAGGGACCCCGGGGAGGGTGGGGCTCAGTAGGTGACTGGGAAAAGGGAATTGGGAAAAAGACATACTCTTTCAACCTGGGTCTTGCAACCAGAAAGACTGCGAGGGAGACACGGGGAGGAGGACAGGGTCCATGAGAGGACAAGGGTCCATGTCCACCAAGGAGCAGCAGGACCCTGATACTGTTCTCTCTTCTGTTTATTTACATCTTTTGGGGTGCCATTTGTCATTCGAGTGGGGTTTCATTAAAAAACTAAACAAGTAAGAAAACAGGAGAATTTTGGAACCTCCCAGAAGGATGACTCCACAGTGACACTGAGTCTTCACTGCTCTACGCTCCTTCAGTTTTCTTATTGCTTTGTCCAAAGCATTAGACCATCTTTGAGGAAGGTGTAAAAGAAGTCTAAAGGCATTTTCTTTGTTTGTTCTGTTTTGTTTTAAACTCTCATTGTATACAGCTGAGGATTGAAAATTTTTCATTTTCCTACAGATGAAAGAGAAGAAGACTGACAGAGGGAGACATTTCACAATAGGAGGAATCAGGAGACAGATGCAGTGTAACAGCAGACTCTAGACCGTCATGATGATGGTAAAATTATCAGATGAGCAGCATCACACACTGTGAGTCTTCAGATGATGATATCATAGGTGAATTTTATCAAACTCAAGAATTACTCTTGGCCAGGCATGGTGCTCCCACCTGTAATCCCAGTGACCTGGGAGCCTGAGGCAGGAGGATCGCCTTTGAGGCCAGCTTTAGCAACTTAGTGAGACCCTGTTTCAAAATAAAAAAGGAAAAAAGGGCTGGGGATGTAGCTCAGTGGTTGAGATCTTGCCTTCAATCAAGAGGCCCTGGATTATATCCCCAGCACAGTGCGGGGGCAAGAATGAAAGAGAGAGAAAAGCAAGAAGGATAAAGAAATAAATAATAATTATCCCCATTTTTTTTCTACAGGGAATGGTGGGGGAGCAGAGAGGGACGGTCTTTGCCTAAGGTCATCTAGCTCTTGCTCTGTCCTGTTGCACTGAGTCAGCCTTTCCTGTGGCGTATAGTAGGTGCTGCCCCTACAGGGTAGGACCCTGGGCTGGACCTTAGCTGAGGAGGAGTCCAAACCCCCACTCCCCTCCTCAGTGCTTGCTCTTGGCTCAGCTCACCTGTCACCTTTCTTTGGGCCTTGGGCTCCTGAAGTTGTGGTTTTCCTCCAGGTGGTGACTCAGAGCCCATAGCCTGTCCTGCATGCCAACCTCCCCTCCCTTGGGCCTCACTGACTGCCCTGAGCAAGAGGCAGCTGCGCTTCCCCTGAAACGGCAACCACAAACTGCCAAGTGCACTCACCTACCCTCTAACCCCACCCCACCCTTCAGTTGGGGTTGTCCTCACCCCAACTCTGGGCATCAATTAAAAGAGAACAGGGGGGTTTTCATACATCCATGGGCTTGGTGAAGTTTTGTTTTTTTTGTTTTCTGGTACTGAGGATTTACCCCAGTGGTGCTCTACCACTTAGCACTGTCCCCAGTCCTTTTTGTTTTGTTTTGAGACATGGTTTCATTATGTTAGCCAGGCTGGCCTCAAACTTGCAATCTTCTTGCTTCAGCCTCACTAATTGCTAGATTACAAGCATATGCCACGGCACTCTGGTGTTTATGAGCTCAGCCTTCCCAGCATGAGGGTGGAAGATATTCCCATTTCATTGATGGGGAGAGTGAGGCCAACATGTTTTAGGGGCTACTTTCAGAATCATTCATTCATTCATTCACAAGCATTCCTCAAAGCTCTTTGAAACCCAGGATGGTGGACACAGAGACACAATGTCCAGGTGTTCCTCAGGGAAGGACTCATTGTTCTACCTGTGGGAGAGCCACCCTCCAGTATTGTCTCTGCTGCAGGGATTACCTCCAGGGATTGCCCCTGCTCCTTACCAGAGCTCCTGCCCTTCCCTGGATGGCCTATATCCTAGGCCTAATCCAGGTGGGATAGAAAGGCCCGGCTAGGGGCTGGGGATGTGGCTCAAGTGGTAGCATGCTCGCCTAGCATGTGTGAGGCACTGGGTTCGATTCTTAGCACCACATAAAAAACAAAATAAAGATATTGTGTCCACCTAAAACTAAAAAATAAATATTGAAAAAAAAAAAAAAAGGCCCGGCTATTTTAGCCCCACGCAGGGTTGAGACAGGCTATTCCTGCTTCAGAGCTCCCATGAGGCAAGCAAGGCTGGGCTGAGCCTGCACCGCAGCTCAGCTTCTCCCTCTGCTCAGTTCTGCCTCTTCCCTTCTCCAGGCTGTGATTATCACAGTTCCCCCCATAACCATCCTGCATGCTACCTCCAAGCCAGAGTCCTCTTCCCAGAGAACCTGCCCTGCAACTCTCGGCTTCCAAAACACTGTCATAGCAGAGAGGCACAGAAACAACCACAGTGGAGAAGAATGGTAACACAGCCCCCAGAGGTCCAAGAAGCAGTTTTCTTGTCTCATTGAGTGCATGGGCCACAGCATTCAGGACTGGGGATCAGCACCAAGGCAAGAGCCCATGTGCCTGTTTCCATCTGAATGCTATAGCCCATCATCCTTGGTTAGAGGAGGAGCAGGCTCTCCCCTTGTCTGCCATGAAGCTCTCATACCCAGATGGCTCCTATAAGCCCCCATGAGACTGGGCCCTCCCCAGTTTCTTCTCTAAATACATACCCTGACTGTGGGTCTAGTTGCCATCTGCATTCTGAGTGACCAAGTGCCATCCAGAGCAGTTGCAGCCCTGGGGTTGCCCAAGAGAGTTGCTCTGGATCTGGAGGGCTCTGAAGGGAGAGCAGATGCTTAGGCTAAGTAAGGAATCCCAAGATTGTGAGGGACACATCTGGGTTCCAAACCCACAAATGGAAACATTTCTAAGACAGCCACCAACCTCCACCCACCGTGGGGCTGACCAGGCAGCAGCTCTATACTAGGTTCTGGATTGTGCTCGCTATGCCTCTGGTGATGAGGAACTCATCACCCTATGCCCCTCCAAGAGGTCCCTGGTTGGATACTTGATAATTAGGGAGATCTTCTTCCCTGGAACCCCAATCCTGTGTGTCCCTGGGCCTTCCCAGGCTCCTCCTCTGGAACTTGGACCCACGGGGCATGCTCCCTTTGTCCAAAGTTGTTTTTGAGCACCAGACATCCACACATGGAGAGATCACCATGGGAACTTACCATGGGGTCTTAGGAAAGTTCCTCTGCCAGGGCCTCAGTTCTCCATCTGTCCAGCTAGGGGGAGGGGGAGGGCTCATCTTTCAGCTTCCTGCCTGCCCTGACATTTGATGGCTTAGCAATAAAGAAATGCCATGATCCTCTGCTTGTCTCTACTGCCCTACTTCACCCTTGTCTTCTCCCCTCCAGGTCACCCAGCCCCAGCACCCTCCATTATCCTCCTGACCTGCCACCTCTCCTGGGCTGATGAGAGGTGAGAAGTGGGCCTTGATTCCCACCTGTCTGGGGAGGCCTGCCTGGAGCAGGTGCTACTCACTGAGCCAGGCAGCGGCTGCAACAAGTCAACATCTGGCAGGACTTGGAAATCATGTTGGAGAAAGCCTGGCCTGGCCAGGAGCAGGAAGGAAGGGTCCAGTGCAGGGAGCAGTCAGTTCAAGGCTGTGCCTTCAAGTTTGGATTGGAGGAGCTTCTCACTTGCGGTAGAGAAGCCAGGACAAGTGCCAGCCATGCAGACTGCTGCATTCTGAGCAAGAGTGACTCATCGCAGACAATCTGCAAAAAGTGCCCATTACTGCAAAAACCCCCACTGGCACCAAGACAGGCAATGGGAGGCAGACAGACTGAGCACAGGTTGTAGCTTTGAGTCTGGTAGAGGATGGAGGGAAACTGTCGGAGAATTTAGCCAGGCCACAGTCATGCCAATTCTGCCCCCAGAGACAGAATTTATGCAGCACTGGGGAGGGACAGTACCCAGTCATCCACATCCTCTGGGCCAGTCCAACCTGTGTTCAAGTTTATATATTATTAAGGGAGTTGGTGGCAAGGGAGTGGGACTCAGTCTACAACCAAGTTTAGCACCTCATCTAGAATAAGGATCAGGGTTCAGTCTGTCACTCAATTAAGCTCACCCTCCAGATGGGATTGAAAGCCAATGCTTGGGTAGCATCAAGGTGGGGAGGGGAGGGGATAAAGAGAGATAGGGAAGCATGAGAGCTAAGAAATCCCTGGGTCTGAGGATAGCTGAGGACAGAGAATCAGAAATCCAACTGTACCACTAACTACTTATGTGATTTTGGAGGGTTCTTCCTTTTGGGTGGAAGGGGGGGGGGGTGTCTCTCTTTTCTTGTATATAAAATGGGAATATTTACTCATGTCCTGCCTGATAACAATCATATAACTTCATATTTCACAAAGCACCTTCTCTTTGACCTTCACAAGAACCCTTATCAATACCATCACCCAGGGCCACCTATGAGGGTGAGACTGCATTTCAGGTGATGCCTGAAGAAGTGGACAGGGTTATTTGCTGAATTCTTTGGATTTTTGTTGTTTGTTTGTTTGCTTTTGGTACCAGTGATTGAATGTAGGGGCACTTAACCACTGAGCCACATCCCCAGCCCTTTTTTATATTTTATTTAGAGACAGGATTTCACTGAGTTTCTTAGGGCCTCACTAAGTTGCTGAGGCTGGCTTTGAACTTGCGATCCTCCTGCCTCACCCTCCCTAGTCACTGGGATTACAGGCATGAGCCACTGCACACGGCTATTTGCTGAATTCTTAAAGGGGAATTGCTTCAGCAGATGGAAAAATCTGAAAAGGAAGAACCCTAGAGTTGTCATGGTTTCTCCTCATCTGTCTTTAATTTTTATTTACCAAAGTAATGCAGGCAAATCACTTACAGAGTCTGTGTGCATATGGATTATAGCAAAAATAGCACTCTTCCTCTCTCCCTCCAACCTGCTCTCCCAAAAGCAACTGCTTCAACATCCTTTATTTTTTCTTCTGGTTTTTACCTTCTGCATAAAGCAGTCATCGCTATTACACCTCTCTTGACCTTCCTATGGTGATGGGCAAAGTTCAGTTACACCCTGTCTCCTGCCCTGGCATCAGCATCGTATCTCCACATTTTCTGTTTCTTCTTTAATCATAATAGTGTCCACAGCTAGCCAATTGCTATGCTATGACCACCTTTCCTTTCTTTTTTCAGCTTCTTTTCCCCCTCAGATTTCCTCTTGTCCTTTAATTTCCATCATTTTAACTTTTTCACCTATGGGTTATTTAGAAGTGCCTGGTTTAATTTTTTCTAATTTAATTCAGTTGTGTGGAGGGAACATACTCTGAATGTTTTCACTCTTTAAATTTATGTAGTCTTGGTTAATGGTTTAGTATTTCTGTTGTCCTAGAGAATATCCCATTTTGGCTTGAAAATAATGTATAATCTAGTATTATTGAATTGAATGTTCTTTTTTTAAAAAAAAGATTTCTTTTGAGACAGGATCTTGCTAAATTGCTGAGGCTGGCCTCCAACTTTCGCTCTCTTGCCTCAGCCTCCTGAGCCCCTGAGATTGTAGGCATGTACTACCATGCCTGCCTTGCTCATTTCTTTCTGGGGATTTGAGTTATTTCCTTTCAGCATGAGAAACTTTTAATATTATTTCTAATAGGGTGGACTGCAGATAGTGAATTCTCTGAGGGTTTTTAAATTTGTTTTTAACCTAAAAAAGTCTTTGGTTTTACCTCATTTTTGAAGACTACTTTTGCTGGTATGGAATTAGTGGTTGGGGTAGTGGCCTCACACACCCTGTCCTCTTGTTGCCTCTGAGCTCCGCCATTTTCAGGAGGTCAGCTGTTATTTGTGTTGTTTTCTTCTTTATACACAGGAGTTATTTTTCTCTTCTAGTGATCACTATTTCCAGCTTCAGCAGTTTGATATGATGTATCTTGGTGAGGACCTCTGGCTTTGTCCTACTTGGGGTTTGTTGAGCTTCTTTGATCTGTGATTGATATTGCATGGATTTGGCAGTTTTCAGCCATTATTTCTTCAAACATTTTTTTCTGACCTTTCTTTAACTCCTCTCCTGAGAGTTCCACTACATGTGTGTTCACATGTTGGATGTAGTCCCACAGAATCTCTGAAACTTTGTTCATTTTTCTTCATTATGGCCTTCCTCATGCCTACCCCCCAAGATTACATCATTTCTATCGACCTATTTTTTCTTTTTTTTTCCTTTCTTTTCTTTTTTTTTTTTTTTTGTGATACTGTGGATGGAAACCAGGGACACTACCACTGAGCCACATCCCCAGCCCTTTTTATTTAGTTTTTATTTTGAGACAGAGTTTTGCTAAATTGCCAAGATTGGCCTGGAACTTTCCGTCCTCCTGCCTCAGTCTCCCAAATCCCTGGGATTATGGGTGTGAACCACTGCACCTGGCTCTTATTTTCAAATTCATCATTTTTTCTGCTATCTGAAATCTGTAGTTTAGTCTTTATAACAATCAATTTTTCAGTTTTTATCCTATTAAACTATAAAATCAACATTTCATTTTTAAGTTTCAATTTCTGTATTGAGAGTCACTGTTGAATTGTTGTCATCATATTTTCCTTTAGTTTTTTAAAAAATATATACAGTAGGAGCTTTAGCTTGGTGCTAAATTGGTGCTAAATCTGACATTTGCACCAATCAGTTCTTAACGATTTCTATTTTCCTCAGTGTGGTTCTCATTTCCATGCTTCTTTTCTTACCTTATAATTTTTATTGATCATATTTTATAGTGTATCATCCTTAAAGAAAAAGGGGACAGTAAAACACATGTCCCTGATTGCCACCTTTGTGTCCCCAAAACCTAGCCAAGTTAAGGAAATAGTGAGATGGAGACTGGGCCAGAATGTCCAGACACCTATTATCTTGAAGGACACTGGCTTTCTCTTATGCCTACCAGGAACTAGGGCGAGTTGATGTTATCTGTAGACAGCTACTCCCTCCGTGTACACCAGCTCCTTGGGATGCTGGCCTTATTCACAGAGTAGGCAAGCTAATACTGATGGTGTCACTCCTCTCTCTGTGGCAACTGGTGTGCAACTGAGGGCACTGTGGGAAGGATGCTGTCACTCATTCAGCTGGCTGCATGGGACAGAACACCCTGAGTGAGGGAAAGGAGGCACTGCTTGGTGAAGCTCCACAAGGAGCGGGGTGCTACCTGTCCAGCCTGTCGCCACCGAGCTCTTTTTGGAGCAGCCACTGATGTCTTGCAGGTTTTCTCCAATAAATCATATGTCTCACGTGCTGACTCTGGGAACTTTCTTTGGCTTCTCCCACCTACCCCACAGCTCTGGCACAACTGGACTAAGCTGTGGATATGACAATAAAAATTTAAATTATGATTTTATTTTTATTGGGTTTTTTTTTGTTGTTGGTTTTTTTTGTTTGTTTGTTTGTTTTGTAATTGACATGGAGTTAAACTTCAGATCCTGTCTCCTCTGTGACATACTTCCACTGGTATCTTTAATTAGTTTCTTCTTTTTTTTTTCTTTCTATATATATATTTTTTCTGTTTTCTTCACATGTGAGCGCGTGCATGATGCTGGAAAAAAACACAGGGCCTTGTACATGCCAGACCAGCAGCTCTACTGCCGCGGAGCCTCCTCCCTGACCCTTTATTTACATTTTTATCCTAGCTTCCTGGAGATTGCCCTGAGTCGGCATAGATCTGTATTCAGTCAATGATTTGGGAACAGTGTTCTAAATACTTACAGGCATTTGCTTATAAGCTGTCCACTCTCTGCCAGTTGATCTCTGTGTGAGGTGTGGGTTTGCACAAAGTTCATCCAATGTTCAAGGCTCCCTTGGCTGTCACATTCCAAAGGCTCCTGTGTTCCTTTGCACTTGTGTAGTTTCCCAGCCAGCAAATCCCATACAGAGGGCTCATTTAGTCCTTCTATGCCTCTCATTTCTAGGCTGTTCCCAGGGACTTTCTGGCCTGCCCTTTGCCCCAACCACGCTTCAACCACTGAGCCACATCCCCAGTCCTTTTTATGTTTTTATTTTGAGACACAGTCTAAGTTGCTTAGGGCATCACTAAGCTGCTGAGGCTAGTCTTGAACTTGTGATCCTCCTGCTTCAGTCTCCTAAATCACTGGGATTACAGGTGTATGCCACCATGCCCAGCTCCCATTAGTTTCTAACTTTTTTCACCCCAGTTTTGGGGATTGAACTGAGGGGCTTGTGTATACTATGTAACTAAAGCCAAATTTAAAGTTAGGTGGTCAGTGTAGTTAGGTAAATCAGGTCTAATATGGAGTGAAATCTAAAATGGAGGCCATGCTGGGAATGACTCAGGAAAAACACAGGACAATTCATGGAATGTTAATGAAGTCCTGAAAAGGCCCTAGGCCAAAGTCCACCTCAAAGAAGCGTTAACCAAGAGCCCCAACAGATTTGGAGATAGCCCATCCCAGAGAAGTGATAAGCCCATCCCAAAAGGTGATAATTAGGCCCACCTGTGTCCCACCCCTCGGGCCTTCCCACCTACATTCCATCACTGAAAGAACTATAAAAAGGGGAGACAACCGCACTTCCACAGATTCCACCTCTTGGGTCCCCTTCTTCCTCCGGGAGAAGTCTTTTCTGCTGTCCTTTAATAAACTTCTAATTTCTACTCTGACCTTGCCTCTGCGTGCTTCTTTGGTGTTATTCTTCAACATTGGGGAAGCAAGGACTCGTCACCGGTCAACTTCGGTAACATAACTACTCTACCACTGAAGTACATACCCAACCCTTCTAAAAATATTGAGATGGGGTCTCACCGAGGCATCCAAGCTGGCCTCAAACTTATGATTCTCCTGCCTCTGCCTCCTGAGTTGCTGGGATTACAAACACGTGCCACCATGCTGGCTTGTTTTCTACTTCTACTGGTGCTGCTGCTGGCTTAAGTTTTCAGCTTCTACTTCAGTTCAGGTATAGCTTCTTTCATGAATTCACTTCTGGTTTTCACATTGAGCCTCTCTCTTGGTCATTATCAGTGACCAAGCTGGGAGACAATGGGGACAAGACAAGATAAGCCTGCAAAATTCCACTATTTTTGATATCTTGTAGTAGGGGTTCACTTGATGCTTTGACTATATCCCTTGTGGCTTTGAAACTTACATGTTTTTTTCTTTCTTTTTACCAATCTTCTTTTCCCTTCTTTTTTTTTTTAAATTGATACCATTATCTTTTAAAAAAATTTTTTTAATATTTATTTTTTAGTTTTTGGCGGACACAAGATCTTTGTTTGTATGTGGTGCTGAGGATCAAACCTGGGCGGCACGCATGCCAGGCAAGCGCGCTACCGCTTGAGCCACATCCCCAGCCCTTCCCTAAACTTCTTATCCCTTGATCTTTTCCCTAAAATTCTGTCCTCTGATATTCTTTTTCCTAAACTTTTCCTCCATGATCTTCTTTTCCCTGATCTTCTCCTTCCTGATCCTTTCTCCCTAATCTCACTTTCTCTGAATTACCTCTAGAAAAGCCTCCTGTTCCTATGGATGGGCAGAATCTTGAGGTGTCTCGAGTGGCCAAAAGTCAAGATAACCACTTTCCAGGAGAGCCCTCACTGGGAGAGTTGGTTCAGGGGTACTGGCCAGGTGAGATACAAAGGAGTTGGCACAAGAAAAGACACAGGAAATAACAGAAGCATTTTGTTACTGACAGAGAGAAAAGGTGTGTCCATGAGAACCAATAGAAAGTCTGAAGACAGCAGGGTGCTCAACCAGCAGTGTGTGTGTGTGTGTGTGTGTGTGTGTGTGTGTGTGTGTGTGGTGGGCTAGGCCTGTGGACCAGTGCCTTACTGGTGACCAGGGCATTACTCGTGCAGGTTTCCCACAGGATGTTCCAGTTGGTGGGTTTAGAGCACAGAGCAAATAGGCTCAAGATCTGCAGAATTAACTGTGACAGACATTACCATATCATATCTTAGCAGATCATGCAGTGCTGAGAGCCATAGCCAAGTAGGAATGATGCATGGCATTTTGGGGTTGAAGGGTGACCCTGCTCAGGGATTAGGGTGGCTCCAGGTTTAGGGTGGATCCTGCTGGGAATAGGGCGGCTCCAGGATTAGGGCGTATCCTGCTGCATTAGGCGCCTGCTCTTTGGAGTTCCCTTTGAGTTCTCGTGGGGGTTCCTCAGAGTATTGGTTCGCAGAGCCCGGTGGAGGGAGTGTATCTTTCCCAGGTAGTGTGTGTAGAGTGCCAGTGAGAGTTCGGGAATAAAGAGTTGCTGTTTGAATCTACAAGGCTTTGTGGTGGCTCGGTTATTTTGTGCCCAGCCAGACTGTGGCAATGCGGGGCATCAGAGAGTCAAGTGGGCTCTATTTGCCTGTCCCATGGGGAGGTGGTCACCACAAACAGCTGAATAAGGTAAATAACAGAATGGGCCACACCAAAGACCTGGGCAAAGGCAAAAAAAAAAAAAAAAAAACAGGAAATGGTGCCAAAGTGACGAAGCTCTGCTTCTGTGTATGAGAAAGTCCAACTTATATCCAAAATGGATGCTGAGACACCATAAAAGTATACAAATTAACTATAGTCGTTTTTGAAAAGTTTGTCCAGTGTTATACTTTTTTTTGTGTGGGGGGAGGGAATATTTGACAACCTCTTCATGCCATCTCTACTGTCACTGCTGCAAGTCCCTGGCCTACAACTATGCTTTTTTTCTTTTTTACAACTTTTGAGAATTCTTTATGTATTGAGATACTAGTCCTTTATTAGATATTTATATTGCCCATATTTTCCCCCAGTCATGGCTTGCCTTTTCATCTACCTAATAACTTAATAGTGTATTTTGAAGAGCAAAACTTTTAACTTTAACTTTTTTTTTTAAACAGGTGATTGAACCCAGAGGCACCTACCCACTGAGCCACATCCCCTGATAACTATCAAAAGGAACTGCCAGAGTAGTTTTTAGCTTAAGGCCTTTATTTCTAACCAACACAGGTAGGCTTAATGTTTGCTAGTATGGTTATCCAGCCCTAAGTAACAGAATTAAAGATTTCTCTATTAGACACAGAGGTCATACTAGTAAAAGGATTTTGCAAGATCAGATGATATTAAATTATTAAACTATATCTTAAGGGAAGGACAACTGTAACCCTAAAAGTTAAATGTTGTGTTTACATCCCTGATATTTCTGGCAATGTGACAAATATCCTTAAAGATTTACATGCTCAGATAGAAGCCATGTCCTCAGCAACTTTGTCATGGAATCAATATCAGCTTCTGGTTCTTGGTACTTCCTGGTGGAAAACATTGTTAGTCTTTGTCTTTGCCATCATACTCATTGGCATATTCCTGTACTATGGCATTTATTGCTGCATCAATATGGTTCCAGTACTAATGAATTCTTGTTTCTCTTATAGACCACCCATCACTCAAATAGCCTTCCAGTCTATTACTTCTCAATCGGACTTCTATCATGGACCACTCGATAGACCTGATTTTTAAAGGGGGACTCCAAACTGCTTGCCCCACACCGTCCCTTTTCAGCCTGAAGAAGCCAAAAAGATCTTCTTCGCCCCCCTTCCTTACAGCAGTAAGGAGTTCCCAAATTAGAGGGGGGAATGAAGCCAGATTTAAAGTTAGGTAGTCAGTGTAGTTAGGTAAATCGGGTCTAATACCGAGTGAAATCTAAAATGGAGGCCATGCTGGGAATGATGCTGGGAAATGCAGGACAACTCATGGAATGTTAATGAAATCCAGGAAAAGGCCCTAGGCCAAAGTCCACCTCAAAGAAGTGTTAATAAACAGCCTACAGCAGATTTGAAGATAGCCCATCCCAAAGAAGTGTTAATGAAGTTCTTCCTGCTCAGACTACTTCTTTGGCCCACCTGTGTCCCACCCCTCGGGCCTTCCCACCTACATTCCATCACTGAAAGAACTATAAAAAGGGGAGACAACCGCACTTCCACGGATTCCACCTCTTGGGTCCCCTTCTTCCTCCAGGAGAAGTCTTTTCTGCTGTCCTTTAATAAACTTCTAATTTCTACTCTGACCTTTTCTGCTTCTTTGGTGTTATTCTTCAACATCGGGGAAGCAAGGACTCCTCACAGGTCAACAGCGGTAACAGCTCCATTGAATTAACTTAGCATCTTTGTCAAAAATCAATTTATGGGGACTGGGGTTGTGGCTCAGTGGTAGAGTGCTCACCTAGCACATGTGAGGCCCTGGGTTCGATCCTTAGCACCACATAAAAATAAATAAATAAATAAAGCTATTGAGTCCAACTACAAATAAAAATAAATATTAAAAAATCTATATGATTGATACATGTGTGATTCTGATTCTGGACTTTCAATTCTGTTCCATTGATTTATGTGTCTATATTTTGTTAACACTATACTGTCTTAAATATTATGTCTCTGTTATAAGAGTAGAAATTAAGTAGTGTGAGTCTTCCAACTTTTTTTTTTTTTCAAAAGTCATTTTGGATATTCTGTTTTCTAAAATATTTTGGAATCAGCTGTATTGGTCGGTATGAAAAATCCTGCTAAGGTTTTGATTGGGGAGAAATTGCCATTTAAGAACACAGATTTTCCTGGCTGGGCGTGGTGGTGCACACTGGTAATCCCAGTGGCTCGGGAGGCTAAGGCAGGAGAATCATGAGTTCAAAGCCAGCTTCAGCAATTTAGCAAGGTCTTAAGCAACTTAGTAAGACCTTGTCTCAAAATAAAACATAATAAAGACTTCTGGTAGGGCTGGGGCTGTGGCTCAGTAGTAGAGCACTTGCCTAGCATGTGAGGCGATGGGTTCTTTATGCCATTGTAAGTGGTATTATTTTTTAATTTTCCATTTTATTTATTATTATCCTCAGCATCACATAAAAAAAATAAATAAAATAAAGGCATTCTGTCCATCTACAACTGCAAAAAAAAAGAAAAAAAGATTTCTGGGAGTGGCCATTTTCATGACTGTGGGTGGTTGGCTTGGTGACCACCAGTATGATTCGGCCCACTGTTGGGGGAACAAAGAAGGTTTGAGCATGGCAGAAGGGAACACCTTGATATCAATGGATTATGACATTTTTGGGAAGGTGTAAGGTATGTTTTTCTGCAAGTACACTCAGGCTGAGGGTACAAAGCTAGGATTGATAGACTGGGTCCAGAACACTGACCCAGGCACAGTGCAAGGATGATTGCAAGGTCCCATCTCCAAGGTGTTGTATGCATGCAGGGATGGCTTGAGATAAGAGGAAGTCCCACATCATACAGTGACAGAGCAAATTTCAACAATGAGAAAGTCATCTTGAAGTTGGATTACTCTGATTTCCAAGTTGTGAAATAATGGCCTGAATTTCAATTTTCCAAGAAAAACTCAGTTTGGGTTTTATTATTAATAGAGATAGAACTATTCTGTGTTAAATATTAGAATCAGTTATTTTTATGTCAGATATTTAGTACTGCATGTTACATGTGTGATATAATACAACTTTACACAATTCTAACGAACAAAAACACATTAGAAAAAATAAATAAATAAATAAAAAGGGCTGGGGATGTGGTTCCGTGTTTAGGTACCCCTGGGTTTAATCCATGGTACCAAAAAATAAATAAATAAAATACATACAAATTTTCCAATAAATTTTCCAATCCACAAATACTATGTAGATATCTTTTAGTCAATATTTTGTTGTTTTAGCATCTTAAGTGTTTTATTAAATTTGTACAAAGTATTTCATGTTCTTTATGCCATTGTAATTGGTATTTTTTTAATTTTCCATTTTATTTATTATTATTATCTTTTTAAGTCAGTTTTTTTTAGTATAGTTATAGATGGACAGAAGGCTTTTATTTTATTTTATTGTTTTGCTTTGTTTTTTCATTTTTATGTGGTGCTAAGAATAAAACCCCAGTGCCTTATGCATGATAGGCAAGTGCTCTGCCACTGAGTTATAGCCCCAGCCCCCTTCTTTATTATTTTTTAGGATTTTTTTTTTAATCGTAGATGGACACAATACCTTTATTTTATTTCTTTGTTTTTATATGGTGCTGAGGATTGAACCCAGGGCCTCACACATGCTAGGCGTGCTCTGCCACTGAGCTATATAACCCCAGTCCCCCATTTTATTTATTTATTTATTTATTTATTTCATTTTTTCATTGTACTGGGAATTGAAACTAGGGCCACATGTATGCTAGGCAAGTGCTCTAACATGGAGCTACACCCTCAGCCTTTTTTATTTTATTTTTGAATTTTAACACAGGGTCTTACTAAATTGTCCAGGGTTGGACTAAAACTTGAGATCCTCCTGCCACAGCCTTCCAAGTAGCTGGTATTATAGGCATGCAGCTTCATGCCCAGCTAAAATTTTTCATTTTAGTTGTTCATTGCTAATCTGTAGGAATATAATTGATTTGTTTTTCTGTGTTGACCTTGTATCCTGTAAACTTGCTAAGGTTATTTATTATGATAGCTTTTTTTAAGAGTCTTTGTGATTTTCTATGTAGACAATTATATGTTCTGCTAGCAGAAATAGCCTTTCTTTTTCTCTTTCCACTTTTTTAAAATAGTGCATTGTAGTTATGCATAATGATGGGATTTGTTGTTTCATGTTTGTAGGTGTATATATTATACCAATATAATTTGGCCAATATCATTCCCCAGTACTTGCCCCTTCCTTCCTCACATCTTATTGTCTGGTCCCTTTCCTCTACCCATTTCCCTTTGTTTTTCATCAGATCCTTGCCCCCTCCACCTGACACACACCCTTCTTTTCCTTTTTCCTGTCTAGCTTCCATATGAGAGAAAACATACAACTCCTGACCTTTTGAGATTGGCTTATTTTACTTACCATAATAGTCTCTAGATCCATCCATTTTCCTACAAATGACATAATTTTATTTTCTTTGTGACTGAGTTAAACTCCATTGTATATGTATACCACATCTTCTTTATCCATTTATCCATTGGTGGACACTTGGGCTGGCACCATAGTTTGGCTATTGTGAATTGTGCTGCTATACACATGGGTAGCATGTATCAGTGTGATGACTTTAATTCTTCAGGATCAATACTAAGCAGTGGCATAGCTATGCCCATATGGTGGTTCCCTGCCTCGTCCTTTGGGGTTTTGAGGAGCAGAGACTGTCTTGTTTCTTCCCTTACACTCTGTCAGCCCTTTCATTTATTGTTCTTGACTCAGGCACTGTTTAGGACTTCCAGTAAATGCTGAGTAGAGTGGTGAGAGTGGACATCTATGCTTGTTCCTGAATGTGAGTGAAAGCATTCAGTCTTTTATCAGAAATATGGCAATAGATGTAGATTGTTGTTGTTGGGTTTTTTTTGTTTGTTTTGTTTTGTAACTGTCTTTCATTGAGTTGAGGAAGTTCTATTCAATTCTTAGTTTACTGAGAGGTTTTATCATGAATAAATGTTGAATTTTTTCCCATGCCTCTTAACTTCTCTTTCATAGTTCATCTTTTTTTTAAATTTTTTTTGCTGAATTCTTGTAATTCCTTAAACTTTACATTTCAATTTACTATTCTCTCTTCAACTTTGTCTATTCTGTTTTTTGACTTCTCTTTTGAAGGTTTTAATTTTAATTACTTCAGTGTCATTTCTAAGAGTTTTGTCTGGTTTATCTTCAAATATGCCTACCTAATTTTATTAGTTTCTTTTTCTGTCTTCATATTTTCAGCATCCTCTTTCACTTCTTTATAAACATATTAAAATACTTTCTTTTTTATTCTGTCTCATCATTCTATTTTATGTGGTATTTGCGGGTCTTATCTTGTCATTCGTTGTTTCAGCTAATTCATGTACTCTGTGGTTTATTTCCTCATGAGCTTATTGATCTTTTATTATGAGCTCATATTCCTTGTAATTCTTTGTGAGAATTATTTGAATCTGTGTTTAAAATAGATTCTTCCACAGAGGATTTTTGTTTACCTCTGCCAGGTGTCTAGGGGCAAGAGGGGAGATATCTTTGATAACCTCTTTTCTGGGGTCAGATCTGAGGCCTTTTCTCCCCTTTCCTGATTTTTTTTTTCATTCCCCTAAAAGCAAAGCCTCAGGCAAAAGTTTCATGTAATTAATTTGGGCAGTGATCTCAAGGAGCAAGAGTGAAAAATGGACAGAAAGAAACAAAGAATGAGGAAAAACCAGTACAAGATTGCCATATCAAGGAGATCTTTGATAGGTCTGTACAGCTGTAAGCAACCTAGTGAGACCCTGTCTCAAAATAAGAAATAAAAAGGGCTGGGATGTGGCTCAGTAGTAAAGTGCCTCTGGGTTCAGTCCCTGGTACTAATAAATAAATAAAAATAAAAATAATAAATTAAAAGAGCTGAGGATATAGCTCAGTGGTAAAATGCTCCTGGGTTCAATCCCCCAATCTTCCCTTTCACCAAAAAATAAGAATATAAAATACAACAATGCCTAGGAGTTACCTGACAACATGACCATCTATCCCTCAGACCTTCAGGAGAGCATGGACTCTCCTATAGGCGTACCCTGAAGGATCCTGCTCTATGGTTATTCTGGTTTCTGAATGACTTGCTTATATAGCACCAGTCGGGCTGAACATGGTGGCCACGCCTATAATCCCAGCTACTCAGGAGGCTGAGGAAGGAGGTCAGCCTTAGCAATGCAACAAGACCCTGTCTTAAACAAACAAACTTTAAAAAAAAAAATACACAACAACAATAACAAA